TTCAGCGTATAAATTCACAACTGTTGTATGCGCTGAATGCGGCCAATAGCCACGTTCAGCAGGCACAACTGTTGAGTGAGCGCTCAACGATTTCTTAATGGCCACGTTCAGCAAGCACAACTGTTGAGTGAGCGCTCACTCAACAGTTGTGTCTGCTGAACGCGGCCAATATGATTGGCTGGGATCTAAAGGTATTAACCAATCATACTGAGCGCTCATTGATCTCTTAATATGATTGGCTGGATCTAAAAGTATTAACCAATCATTCCGAGCGCTCACTCAACAGTTGTGTCTGCTGAACGCGGCCATTGGTCGTTGGAGCAAGCAGGATAAGGGTGGAGTCCCATGGAGCGGAATACGCGGAAGCGGAATCAGCGGATCGCCAATCGCAAGATTATTCTGATAGAGCCCTTTCAAAAATTCCGTCGAAACGGTCTTGTGATTGGCGATCCGCTGATTCCGCTTCCGCGTATTCCGCTCCATGGGACTCCACCCTAACGTTGGGACCTGCGACGCGAACAGACCTTCTGCGTTGCGGGAAAGCGCCCGACAAATGTATGATCATGATAAAGCAATTATCTCCCCAACAGTCTTGACTCACGAATACCTAGATTCGGCACGCGCCATCGAGAAGCGCGTCGCAGCGACGGGCGCGCGTTTATGATAACGAAGCGGTCTTATCTTATCTCTCCTCGATTCTCTCCGAGATAACTTTCGGCCGGAGCTCCGTTTTCCTTGTGCGATCTGCCTCGCCCCCTTTCCGGTTGACCTGGTAAGCATACAACCCGGAAACCCTTCTTCGAAGCTCCGCTCAAGCTAATTCTGTACTCGCACGCGAATCAGCTCGCGATCCCCGAAGCGCGCGAGACTCGCCGTCCTCCGCGTTTCGTCGGACCCGCGCTATTTGTTTATACACGACGTTATTTGTCGCGCTCCACGCCACTTCGCCGCGGGTCCCTTTTACGTTCGCGCTATGTCGAGATCGAGAGTCTCGAGCGCGTTTATTAGGTTAATCGCGAACCGCGGAGGATCGCGTCTCGCGCTGCCGCGTGCCGCGGGGGTCGCTCGCGGGGCGGAGGCTGTCCGGGATTCGACCGGCGAGCTGTACTCGCGGTGCGTTTTACATTCGACGTGAGATATCTGTCGGATCTCGAGTCGGCCCGTTAGATACCGAGTGTCCCGCGTCAACCTAGACCGTCGTGACTCGGTTTATTTTGTCGTCCTTGACCGTTGTGACTCTGTTGATTTTGTCGAGCCTCGCACTCGACTATATGTACAGGCGCTGAGGAAAGACGATTTCTGTGTAGCATACAATTTACGTGTTTCAGTGCGCAACGGCCGTACGCGACAATGAGCGTGGATATCACTTTGTTCACTTTGCCGAACAACCAGCCGGTTGTCGCGCTGGAGTGCGACACTGCGTTCCAGTCGTTAACGCAGAAGGAAAAGTTGTACGCTCACTACCTGAGCCAGGCCGCGTGGAACGGAGGACTGATAGTATTGATACAGACGTCGCCAGAGTCGCCGCTGATATTCGCGTTGCTGCACAAGATTTATCTCGCGGAGCCTGTCGACGAGCTGAAAGAAGCCGCCCTGCGCGTCGGCGTCAGCGAGCATGACTTTACGGTAAGAGGACTTTTCCTCTCTGTACGTGTATGTCTCTAGATGATGAAACGTTCAACGTAACGTTTTTTTTTTCAGGCCTTCCTGGTCTACAGCTGCGGGCTGTTCGCAAACGCGGGAAACTACAAAGCCATGGGCGACACTAAAATCATCCCGAATTTGCATAAAAGTGCGTTCGAGACGATCTTGAAGGCTTCGAAGGCTTACAGGAATGATTCCAAGGAGCTGCAGGATATATGGGATAACATTTCGAACACTCTGTATTCTTTGGACGGCAAATTGAAGTCATTGGGATTGGGTGATAAGGGGGTGACGACGTATTTCTCCGCAAACTGCACCAAGGAGGACGCGGACAGAGTCAACGCGTTCATGCAGCACAAGGGACTGGAGTCCTGCAACGCGAGGTGCTTCAAGACGGTGGCGCGGGATCCCGTGGGTGACGGTAACGTCGACGTGTACGAGATCAAACTGGCGTCGGTGGAGACGTCGGACAAACCCGGGGTGACGCTGCCCGAGGAAGCGTACGGGAACGCCAAGTTCAAGATCACGAGGGGGGACTACAGCAAACTCATGGTGCCGGTCGTGGAAAATCTCGAGAGGGCCAAGGAGTACGCGTCCAATCAGATTGAAAAGGATATGCTGGGCAAATACGTGGATCATTTCAGAACGGGATCTCTGGACGATCACATGGACGGCTCTCGTCTCTGGATAAAGGACAAGGGACCGTCCATCGAGACGTACATCGGCTTCATAGAGACGTACCGAGACCCCGCGGGTCAGCGAGGCGAGTTCGAGGGCTTCGTGGCGATGGTGAACAGGCAGATGTCCGAGAAATTCACCACGCTGGTCAACAGGGCCGAGGAATTCATCCCCAAGCTACCTTGGAACGAGGATTTCGAGAAGGACACGTTCCTGAGGCCGGACTTCACCTCTCTCGACGTTCTGACGTTCGCGGGCTCCAGCATTCCGTCGGGGATAAATATCCCGAATTACGACGAGATCAGGCAGTCCGAGGGCTTCAAGAACGTGTCGTTGGGGAACGTGATACCCGCGCATATGAAGGACACTCACGCGATCCCGTTTCTATCGGACGCCGATCAGGAACTGATGCAGAAGTACAGAATATCCAGCTTCGAGGTGCAGGTCGGTCTGCACGAGCTCCTCGGCCACGGTACCGGTAAATTGTTCAAGCAGACCGGGCCGGACACCTACAACTACGACCGCGACAACGTGAAGAATCCTCTCACCGGCGGTAAAATAGACAAGTTCTTCCAGAAAGGGGAGACCTACGATTCCAAGTTCGGCTCTATGGGATCCACGTACGAGGAGTGCAGGGCGGAGGCGGTCGGTCTTTACCTGAGCCTGGAGAGAGAGGTGCTGAGCATATTCGGCCACGAGGGACAGGTGGCGGAGGATATTATCTACGTCAACTGGCTGTCCCTGCTGTGGAGCGGTTTCGCCAAGGCCTTCGAGATGTATCAGCCCGCCACGCAAACGTGGTCCCAGGCTCACTCTCAGGCGCGTTACGTTCTGCTCAGAGTGTGCCTGGAGGCGGGCGAGGACTTTGTCAACGTGGTCGAGACCGAGGGAGGGAAGAACCTCCGTATAATTGTCGACCGGAGCAAGATCTCCACGGTCGGCAAGAAGGCCATCGGTGATTTTCTCCTCAAGCTGCAGGTTTACAAGAGCATGGGCGACGTCGAGTCGGCCGAGAGGATGTACGGCAGGTACAGCGAGGTGCCGGAGAGCGGGCCGCATCCGTGGGCCCGCTGGAGAGACGTGATCCTGTCTCGCAAGGAACCGAGGAAGATCTTCGTCCAATCGAATACGTTTATCGACGGTTTGTACCCAAGATCTTCAACACTTTCCTCCGACGCATCGTTACGACATTTACAGTTTCTCTTTGAATAACTTTTGTTATTACTGCGAACATGCTCGTTTAATGTGTTTGTAAATCCGACTGTTTCGATTTGTTTCAGGCTTCGATTCCAATAACGTGATACTCAAGAATTACGAGTCGTCGTACACGGGGCTTATTCAATCGTGGACCGAGAGATTCCCAAGCTCAGACATATCTCGAACGCTGATTGAACTCTGGAACAAAGACAAGCATCACTTTGCGTCGGCGAACAATTAATCGGGGCAGTTAACGGTCCGGGTCGTAAAGAATTCCGTGTAACCGTCGTCGGCGTTCGTGTTTACCAGAACGGCCGATGTTACCCGGTTTAAAATATTACTTTTTTACACTGTTCAATTTTTTACACGACATACGCAACGATTGTCTCGTTTCAAGGTTGAATGTGTATGTACATATGGTATGTGACAGTTTTAACTTTTTTCAAGCCACGCGATTGCGAGAGTATCACATCGCGATCCGTACTCCGATCTACGCGCGACTGCTCGACGTTTTTGCTTTTTATCCGTTTTTTTTTTAGAATATTCCACAAGGTAATGGAGTATTGTAAGATGCCTTTGACCCGTCTTTTGGGTCATATAGCGCTAAACGTCGCGGACAAGAGTACGGGGGGGGGGGGGATGCATTTAAAGAGAATATGCTGAACTTGTGTGTGGAACACAAAGATAACTGTATGTTACATAAAATATACAATTACTTTATAAATTACTTTATAAATACAAGTTGAGGCATTCGTAAGTAACCGTATTATCATTCTGGATAATAGTCCGTGACCAATGCATGAGACGCTCACGTTCGCCATTTGAATCGAACGTGAACGTACTCGAGAAAGTTCCGCGTAAGCTTGTTCTCTGTAAACACGGTATACTTTTTGCACTTGAAATGAAGCGTCCTGGCGAATGTTAGAGAAAGAGAAACGAGAGATAGGAGATGCAAAAAGTTTATTACTAAGAACGACTTATTGAACTTTTTCTACCTTGGACCAATATTCATAGTCCGTTCTTATATTTAAGAATATCTTGAGTACAGTTTTAATGTCTTGTGGAAACGCATTGGCATCTTAACAGAATGGCTTCTGTACTCTCGAGACACAAGACAGTTATTGTGCGTTATTTGAACAACCGGTTTCACCGACGTCGCTTAACTTTGATCTTACAATTAGATTAATTCGTTGTCTCTTCCTGGGGGAACAGTTGGAAAGAGACAAGGGACGAATCGAGCTAGGCTTGAAGTCAAACAACGTTGGTGAAACCGGGCCTTGGAGAGAAACTTAAAACATAAAACATTGTCTTAAAAGTGCAGCCATAAGATATTACTTGGACCTGGTTTCACCAGCGTCGCTTAACTTTAAGCTTAGCTTAATTCGTTCCTTGGCCCTTTCTAACTCTTACTTTAGAAAGAGGCAAACATGAATTAAACTAAGATCCAAGTTAAACAACTTTTGGTGAAATCGGGCCTTAAGATCTTGAAATAAGAACGGACTATGAATCCTTTTTTGGTTTTAAACTTCAGCCCGATTGTGGAAAGTGCAGCAAAGCGAAGAATAAACCTGTATAGCCTAACGCGCGATAAAGGGATTATTGGGAAATGGGAATAAATGGCTGCGTTCAGCAGAAAAAGCTGCTTTGCATCTGTTGTAAAATGAATCTGTGAATCTGATTGGTGTATTCTCTTAATCTTGAGTGAATTTAAGAGCATACGCCAATCAGATTCACGAATTTTACAACAGTTGCAAAGCAGTTTTTTCTGCTGAACGTAGCTAATATTAAACCCATATTGTTTAAATGCACAAGCTAAAATATTTTGGGTTACGACTATATGACACATTTCTCATATTCGTATCTGGTATTTTATTCTTTTTGTCATTGTGCGTTACGTTTACTTTCTCTTCCCTTCGTCCCTGTCTTCTAATATTCAACGTTTAGTCTGTCCTTGATATTTCCTTTATTGTGCGCGCGGCCTAAGCTTCAAATCGTCGTCGCGCATGCGCGTGCGCGCCCCTGCGACGCGACCAATGCCGCGTTCGCGTCTACATATACGTCTATGGTTTGAATCCGGCGAGTTTTGGCGGGCAATAACAGACGGAGACGACGTGCAGGATGGAGGGACGGGACTCTTTGCGGGGCCTGTTTCAGGATTTAGGCTGTAAAATCGAGAACGATGCCGTCCTCGACAAGTGTGAGTACTCCCGCGGGATCTACCGCGATTTTCTACTCGTCGAAAATCCTCCCGGAATCGCGTTCCGCCTCGAGTGCTCGTCGGCGTCGCGAGCCTGGTCGAAAATTTACTTCAGCTCGCCTTGAAAACAAAGCGCTGACTTCGGACGATCGAGCGAGTGCGTCTGTTTTTAACAAGAGAACGAACACGCGATACAAAACGGACGCGGACTTTGCTCTACCTCGTTGTCGTATAACCTCACTTTTGAAACCGCGGACCCCTTCGTACACGCTGGAAGTGAAAATTGGAGGGTCTTGAAAAGCGCCGGTCTCGCCGGCGACAGTTGATCTCGGTTGCGGTCGAAGACTCGCTCGTTCGCCCCCGTTGATTCCGCGGGGAACGAACGGGAAGCATTTTAGGTTAGACCGCGATGAAAGTTGGACGACGCCGGCGTGAGACACCAAAGCCGCCACGTTGCGGTACGTTCGATTTAGCGAATTTTAGGCGTTGCAGTTATTCAGTTTCCCAGTATTTTTAACCGAGCAGCCTTCTGTCGGGATCGGCACGCTCACCGGGCGTTTCTGTGACGCAGGTTTTCAACTATGCGACTTGTACGACGTGGACGTGGAGAAGCTCACGGAGCTGTGGCTGACCTTTTGCGTCAACAACGACACCGATATCGATCCCACCGTTGACACCTTGGTCAAGATGGAACGCGCGGTGCTGAAGGATTACAAACCGCACGACTCGACCGTAGAGAGCCCCGCAAAGCAGCAAGAACCAATGGAAAAACATCTCGCCGCGAGCGAAACTGTGTATCCTTTAACAACAAAATTCATCGTTGTCGTTCTGGGGCTCGATTGCTGAATTAGGGTGTGTTCCCATTTCCTCTTAGTACTACTTTCAGGGGCCCGATTCTCGAAATCATTCGAAGAAGAAACGTATACGAACATTCTGCTCCGACAGAAAAGTTGAAAGTCGATTGGTTAAAGCCACGCGAATGGCCAATCAACTTGCAACTTTTCTGTAAGAGCAGAATTTTCGCATACGTTTCTCCTTCGAATATATTCAAGAATCCAGCCCCAGTCCTCTTTATGTCTGGAACCATTTAGAGATACACTGGGATTATCGCTGATGGAGGAACGATTCTCAAATCACATACCACTCTGATCCCTTGAGTTACGCTCTAGTCGATTTAAACGAGTTTCACTGAGGAAGACTCGAAGTAGGGTCGAAACGTTTATATTGAAGAGAAATTTTGTTTCTAAATTGTGAGAACCGTTTTCCGTTGATTTGTGGCTCACATTGGCGCTCTTCCCTCTCTACATATTTTCTTTTTGGGAGCCTTCACAACATTTTGGAATATACTACTGACAGTACTCTCAATAGTCTAGAGCATTCGGTATCAAAGAGAAGATGCAAACGGTTGCACGTAGAAAAGAATACCCGTTGTGTTATCACGAAGGATACTGGGGTTTCGTTTGGAAATGACTTTCTCAGAAGCTGAATTCAGTAATAGCGTCCGGTACTGGCAGTAGTACCGAGAGGAAATGGGAACACACCCTTGGAAGAAACGTAAGCGCAAGTTCTGCTCTTGCAGAAAAGTTGCAAGTTTGATGGGCGATTCGCATGGCTTTTAACCGATCGACCTTCAGCTTTTCTGCGAGAGCAGAATTTTCGCGTGCTTCTCTCTCGAGTGAATTAAAGAATCGAGCCCCTGGACGAGGAATATGATCGGTGATTCGCGACTGCTGTAACATACGCGTATATGGCACCTTACATGCAAACATTACAGTGACGACGACGTACTTAGCATGTATGGCTGTGCAGAGAGTCAACCGTCGAAGGTGAGTTTTAGCAATTACTTTATTGTAATTTATTAATTTTTCTCTATGCAAAAAAGGCGTATTAAGTCGATAGTTGAGAGTCCCGAAGTATTGTCGCTTTTCCGAGATGCTGATTGGCTGTCTCGCTTGTGCGATACGACATGCTTCAGTCGTGTTATTTGCAGCTGTTAAACCACGCGAATTTTTAGAGAGAACGAAGCGCGCGCTTGCGTTGTCTAGTGTATAAGAAATACGGTTTGCAAGTGTATTAATGTTTCAATAAAAAATAGCGGTGTATTTTTCATTGGAACATTTTACGCAACGCAATTGATGCGTCACATCGTTGAACTGTAAGTTCGATTTAGGTCGAGATCAATCTACAATGCAATATGCAATCAACTCGCGTGCACGGATACGTGCGAATCGTAACGGTTATTTAAGTTGGTATCGAAAATCGAAGAGTATTTTCCAAATGCATATACGTGGCAAATTTATGATTATAATTTAGTATCTCACGATCTGCAATTTAGGAGCGAGTGGCCGGCGGACGCGAGACAATGTTGGTAGAAAAGATTGTTTTCGGGCAGGTTGTTCCGATCTCTCGGGCTCAGTTTTGCATTTTCTGGTTAACTGTTTACCAGAGCTTAGTCGACGCTCTATCTTTTTTTTTAAATATTATCCAAGGCCAAGTATTTCATTTTCTGGTCAACTGACCAGAGGTCAGTCGACTCTCCATCTTTTTCTATGTTATTATCTAAGAAGGAACAGAATCGACTAACTTCTGGTTAACAGTTGACCAGAAAATGAAACTCCAGGCCTTGGTATAAGTTAACTGATGGTTAAATCATACATGTCTGTTTTTCCTTTAAATTAAAAAAAGGATGGCCGTATAATTTAACTATCAGTTGGCTTACCAAGAGGTTGGCAAAACCGGGTCCTTGTGCTCGGTTTTTCATTTTCTGATTAACTTTTTTAACCAGACGTTAGTCAACTCTCCATCTTTTTCTACGAGAAGAGACAGGAGTCAAGTAACCTCCGGTTAACAATCGGCCAGAAAATGAAGAACCCGGGCCTTAGTATCCGACAATGAGATAACAATACTCGTTCGTTGAATGCTTTCTTTTTTTCCGAGAAAAGTCATTAGAAAATGGCATTCCTTTCGGCAGGAAATAGAGTCATTTCGACAGGCATTTCAGCCCTTGTCCATAGATCAATCCGAGACGGACACCGGAGTGTTTCCCGGAACGCTGCTATCTCCTTTGGAAAAGCCTTCGGGAAAATTCCACTCGTTCATCCGAAAAGAACGTGAGTTCGGTTCGGGAGGAATGGCATTGTCCCAGCGGGCACTTCAGGTACCTGAACAGTGCTCTGCCAACATTGTCTCTCACCGTTCACAGTGGGTCCCCCACCCCCTCCGATATACAATGCATCTGTTGTTTGCAAATGCGCGTTCCGTTCGTGATATTACGTTGCGGGCGTTTTCTCGCTGGCTCGAAGGATCGGGAGAGAATTTTCGAGGCTCTCCCGAAGATACCAAAGAGAAAGAAGAAGACGAGGGAGGAGGATGAGAAAGATTAAGAAGAAGAAGAAGAAGCAACATCGTTACAGGATTCTGCATGGCGGCACCGTAATTCCCGCCACAAAAATCGCTCAGGTAGATCCCCCACCTCGCCCCCCTCCGCCGCGCCAGTTCGGCTCACTTCGCGAAGGATCTCCCGCGCGGCAGGTGGGGAGGGGGCGGGGCGGGACGGAGCAGCGCGTTTCCATTGGCGGAACGAGGACGAAGAGCGACACGAGCGAGGGAAGGGGCAAGGTTCTTCCTCCTTCTCCCTCCATCCCCTCCGTCTCCTCGGCGAGCCGAACGGATCTCTTTCGAAGGGCACGATTTCAGTTTTCAAGGACTCCGGCGCGGTCGCCGTCGGTTCGTCGCTCTCGTTCTCACGTTTATTTTAACGCGCGAACGGAGAGTAGTCGCGCGCGATCCACGCTCGCGTTCGTTCCTCGCTCGCCGCGGCCGAAGATTCGTGCGCGCGCGGGCGCGCGAGCGTGCCTCGCGGTGTGTCGCGTTGCGCTCGGTTATCGGTGCGCGGCTCGGTATCGGTGCGGCCTCTGTGCCTCTCTCGATGGCGTCGGCAACGCGACGCCGCCATCAGCGTCTGACAAGCGCGTCCCCGCGAGTGATCGTTTTCCGCCTCGGCGCCGCTCCGCTCCGCTCGGCTGGCAATCGCGCGGGAGGATCGGTCGCCCCGCGGCCGCGAGGCTCGTTCGCGGCGACTCGACGGCTGGCGATCGCGATCGCGGCGTGCGCGAGGAAAGGAGCAGGCGAGAAGCGGTAACACCGGCGGCCATGATGGCTCGGTCTCGGCGCGGAGTCGGGGCCCGCGAGCGCGGCGAGAGAGCGAGCAATTTCGCCGATCGCGCGGCCGAAATACGCCCGGATCCTCCCCTCGTCCGACTCGGAGGAAGCGAGGAGAATCTGCTCGCCCGTATCCGCCGATCGGTTCTCGCGTCGCGATCGCCCGCGGACGCGCGCGCGCATGCGCGCGCACGCTCGTAGGAATGGACGCCGCGTCGCGCGGACGCGAGTGCGACGACCGTTGAGCCGCGGCGGAGCCTGTTGACTCGCGCCGCTGCAACCTGTTGCGCCAACGACGGACGATGAACGGCGGTGCCTCGCTCGAGCACTGCGCTCCGCGGAGGAGAAAAAAAAAGATAACGCGCCCCGGGCCCCGAGGGAAGTAGGTATGCAATTAGACGACGGGGAGGGGGAGAGAGTGGGAGATCGAGCGACTCGCTGCCATCTCGCTCGACGTCGATCTCGTAGGCTTCGACTTCGACTCGCGGGGGAATCTTTTCGATTGTCCGCGAGTCCCTTTGTATCGCGCGCGAGCGGAAGCTCTTTTTTTTCCGATCGTCCGACGTGCGATCTGCGCCGGAGCGGAGGAGATTCGAATTCCGTCGCCGTTGAAGGTCGTGCTTTTCAGCGCTCGCCGCGGCGAGTATCGAGAGCGCGACGATTACCGATTACTCCGCGGCTCTTATCGGCGCCAAACTTTGAATCGCGACTGCCGCGATCGTATGGCCTCGCGTCCACGATCCCAAGAACGGGGAGTGCATTCTGTATCTTGCGATACAGTGAAAATACTGGAAGCGAGCAGCTCTGTCTCTTTTTAAGGGGACGGTTAGAAAGAGACAAAGTTATTCGCTTTTAGCACTTTCACTGTAGCGTAAAGGCCCGTGTCCACGATGCTGGAACTTCGCCCAAGTTCGTGGACACGGGCCTTAAGTCTTGTGTCCACGATCCAAGAACTGCGTCCAAGTTCTTGAATCGCGGACACAAGGCTTAAGATACAGAATTGACCTCCCGCGTCCAAGTTCTAGTTCCGAGAAATGTGTAGCCGATCGACTTGCGGCTTTCACGAAGCTGAAAACTTCTCGCGATCTTTTACTAACATTTATTGTACGTTCCCGTGAAGATTATCGCCACACGGACTTTCCATTCGTTCTCGATTAGCGCGCGGACTCCGGATTCTTATCGAGACAATTGAAGGAAGAAGGAAGGAAAGAAGACGTTTCCCTGGCCTTTTCTTCGGTTCTCAGCGCACGGGCGCCGTTAAAGGGTCGGGGGATTTCCCGGCCGGACCTTTCACCGGCGCAAAACACCCGCCCGCTCGTCGTCAACTTTCTCTCCTCGATCGCGCTCGAATCGTCGAGAGACGCGCGCGTTCCCGCCGATAAGCAACGCGAATAACTCGCGCCTAGCGATATCGCGTTTGACCGACGGGCTCTTCGAGCGCGCGCGCGCGCGCGCGGCCGTTGGTGTCTCTCCATCAATTAAGCGCAATTGAACAACAACTGTTCCAATCTCTTCCCTCGCCCGCACGGCTTTCGATCCCGCCGCGCGTTTCTTTCGTCTCCGCTCTTCGTGCCGCGTGACTCAGCCGAGGAGACTGATCGATAGTCGCGGATGCTCTCGGAACGATCGTCGGTCTCGCGCGGCGCGCGACTCTTCGGGAATCGGCCGATCGAGAACAATCCACGTCGACGGTGATGGGCACGTTGGGAAGAGCGAGAGGACGGAGAGGAGAGAGGATTCGCGGGGTGGACGTTAGAACGCGGTCGATTCTGGTTTTTTTTTGTAAGTAGCTGCTATCTGCTCGCTGCCGAGTGCCTTGGACCTGATTTCCGTGAGCGAATTGTCCGACTAATGTCCATTCTGTCAGTGCAGATTAACTTTAATGTCGGTTTAACTTTCTTTTCAGCTTTTTCTAGTTCTAAGAGTTGGAGGAAGATGGAGAGTAAATTGGACCGAGATAAAAAGTTAAGCTACGCTGGTAGAAGTGGACACGATTCGCGGTTTTTTCCTCTTTCGTACAAATGGCGGGGTGGACTAGTTTACGCGACGGAGAGTGAAAAGACTCCTGGGAGTTCGAACCGCATCAAAGGTACGCGGACCGTGAGGTCTGCAACGAGAGTTGCTAGTCGTGAAGCCTTGCGTCCACGATCTGAGAACTGCGCCCAAGTTCCGGTTCTGAGAAATGTGTAGCCAATCAGCTTGCAGCTTTTACGGAAAACTACACTGGCTACATATTTCTCGGAACTGGAACTCGGACGCAGTTTCTGGATCGTGGACGCAAGGCTCTACGCCCGTTTCTACCAATGCAGATTAACTTTAATCTCGGCTTAAATTACTTCTTGTCTTAGAAAAAGATACAAAGTAAGTGGAACCAAGATTGAAGTTAAACTGCGTTGGTAGAAACGGGTATTAGCGAGAAGTCAGGTAGGAAAAGGATCGGCATGCAGTTTCGACCAAAGGCCTGTGTGTCCACGATGCTAGAAACTTGCCCCAAGTTTCGAGAAATGTGCGGCCAATCAACTAGCAGCTTTTATGGAATAGCCGCAAGTTGATTGGCTACACATTTCTCGAAACTAGAACTTGGGCCAAGTTCTAGCGTCGTGGACACAGGCCTCGACTAACAATTCGTCGTAGACCGAGCCTGAAACTTTAGTCCCTGTTCAAAACCGATGAAGATCCGAGTGCTCGCTGTAATATAGCTCCGTTTTTCGACGAGTATACGTTTGACTCGTCTAGCGATCGCGTTTGAATAATTTGTCCTCGCTTTCGTACACAAGAAACGAGAGTACCCGTGAAGTTTACTTGTAGCGGACGCGAGGTGTCTCGTTCGCTCGACTGCTCCGAACGTCTGTTTACCAACGTTACTGTTTGCTCGTCGATATTGGTGCGTCAATGTTGATCGAGAATCCGAATTGTCCTCCCGCGAAGGACGTGTTCTCGAGCGCTGCGACAATGTCTTTTACGTTGGCCTGCCGTCGCGGGGCCCACGGAAGTTAAATCGGACAAACGGAACAGTCGGGCAGCCGCGTTCGGCTTTTGAGAGAACCGGTTCTCTCTTTCTCGAATAGAACGCGAGGTAATTTTATTTTTCGCATATTCGACTTTGCTTATCGGTTTTTTTCTTTCGTTACACGAGGAGTGGGATTCTTCTGTTCTACTCGAGGGAACCTTTTCTCTTCGATCCGCGAATCTCCCGAGTTCAAGAAGAAAGGTTGACGTCGCGACGTTATTTTGCTCATTTCCTATAAATACAGAAGTACGCGAAGTGCGTGCGGAGTGCACAGAGCGATTATTTGAAAAAAATATTGCGAACGCGATCTTTCTTTTCGCCTATCTGGAGTCTGGTCTACAACGTGCTCTATGCAGTTGGAAACGTTCTATTTTGTAGAAACAAATCAAAATGTTTGAAGAATACAATGTGTAATGTACTCCGAGGGGGAAACCGCAGACCAAAATCTTGTACACCAATGCCCACTAATGCCCAGTGGGCATTACTTGATCTTATTATTGTATTTTATCTTATTTTAGCTTTATAATGCCCTAGCAAGGTCTAATGCTCCAAAAAATGTCTAGTTCGATGCGCACGGAAGGAATTTTCTCTGAAAATTTATCCTGAAAATCGTGGGACAACGGGTATGGCATTTCGAAGAATACGAGCTTCTTGAAATTTTACCGTACATTTTACTGGTAAAACAAGTTGTTCAAAATGCCATGTGCGGCGATTACATAATTTTCAGGATAAACGTTGAAAGAAAAATTCCGCGCCTAATTCATCAACTTGCGCGCATTTTTTTAAACGTGCCTACAAAATAGAACGTTTCTAGACTCAACGAGCGCGCACCGTGGAGCGGTTTTCAAGACCAACGGCGTTAGCAACTCGGAAATTCTTTTACTTCCCGGACATCTTTCGCGCGGAATCGGCGCGTCTTCTCACCCGGGAAAGCCCGTTTTCTTCTCGAAAGTTCACCTCGGGTACGCGCACTCCGTCGTCAGGTTCGTTCCTTTGTAATCCCGAGTCTTTTGTGCTCTTTCTTCCCCCTACCCTCTCTCTCTCTTTCTCCCCCTCTTTTTCTCTCCAATTGGATACCTGCTTTATTTTGAGTGCAGAAAGTATAACGTAGCGCGCAGCTACGAGCAACAGACCTGCGTGCGTCCGACGGGAGAGAAGGACCGTGGAGAGAAAGGAAGAAGAAGATGGTTAGAGCGAGAGGGAACGTGTCACGTGCATAAGGAGCGTACTCGTGGCGCGGCGCGCATGCGCGCGCGGCGAGGATCGGACGGCGTCGGACGCGGACGGAGGACAAGAGAGCGAGAGAGCGAGCGAGAGAGAGAGCCGCCGGGCACCGCTTCTTCTCTGAACTTGATTGAAACGACGCGTAATACGAAGGCGGACGTTACGAGCGGGCCCAGGTTAATCGTAGTTAACCTCCGTGCAGCGCGTCGCCGTATTCTCCCTCGCGTGTATTCGCGTGCGCGCGCGAATCGAGCGTTCGCGGCTATCAGCCGCCCCCTTTCCCTGCGCCCCGAAGAAAATGCAGAAGAGGGACACCCACGCGGGGGATTCTTCTCGGATGTGCCGAATGAGTGGCGGTCTAGTGCACGGTCGATAACGTTGTGACTAGATCCACACTCATTAAGCACGTCCGAGCGCAGCAACGATCGTCGAGATCGGAGGGTTCCCTCCCCCGCCGCCTCGGAGAAGCACCGTCACGTCCCTGAGGAGAACCCCGGCTCCGCTCCGTTTGGTTCCCTCCCGTCGGGAGATCTTTGAGGACCGTCTGCACTGGGAGCAAGTGGCGAGAAGCAAGAGAACCAATAATCCTTAGGCCGGTGGCGCACGAAAAGACTCGAGACTCGAGAATTTCAACCGTACGGAATTCTCGGCTTGAAGGCCTTCACACATAAAATTCCGCAAGGACGTAAAACGTGAGCGTAAGAAAATCAACAAATTGGATTTGCTACTGCTCGCGTTATTGCCTTATGTTCTCAACTGTGATTGGTCGATTTTCTTACGCTTACGTTTTACGTCCTTACGGAATTTTGTGTGTGTGAAGGCCTTTACGTTTCAATGTGGCTGCTCGAGTTTTCGACTACGATTGGTCAATTCGCATACGGGACCGAACACACGAAAAAGACGCGCAGGAAAACTTAAGAACTTGAACCAATCGGAATTTTCAGCTTCGCTCAAGTTGCAAAACGGCTGCTTACATTTTCGGCAGTCATTGGTCGTTTCCGTTAAGTCTTAAGTTTTACTGCTTAAGTTTTTCTTCGCGTGTTCGGGCCTTTACTGTTCGTTTTAATGTTTAAGTCTTTGTATGCTACGGTCCTAGTCTGCGACAGGTGATTTAAGCTCCAAGAAATTGACCAATTACAGTCGGAAGTGAGGAGAATACTCGACTGTGATTGGTTAATTTCTTAAGCCCAATGTCCACGATG